ACACCACCAAGGTGTTCCTTTTGTTTCAATCAGGTGATGCTAGAGAACAAACAATACTCCTGAAATTAATAAGCATTGCAAAGGAGCACCTCATCTTCTAGCCCAGTACCTTTGATGCTGCTTGTTCATGTAAGGATCTGCCTCCATTGTGATTTGACTGACAGGGCTCTTGCCTATAAATTTGAGCAATTAAGCAGGCTAGGAGGCAGCTGGTAAGGAGAGGTGCAGAGAGAAAAAACCTGCAAGAAGTTACAGTTTCAGGTCTCCTGATTTTTGCAAACAACCATCTTCAAGCACAAGTACGACAGCGGGAGAGATCAGTGCTGTTGACCCATCAAGCTCGGTAAGAGATTTTGCTACTTTTTGCCAGATGCAAGTCACTCCTCCAGCTTTTTTTGAGGCAAATAAGAGAAGACAAAGAATAAGTCAATTAAGGACCCAAAATATTATTATTAATAATAATATATTATGTTTTATTGAAAAATTATGTTTGTGAACAATGACTCAATTTCTAGATATAAGATATGTACATATTCACAGAGAGCTGTGTGACATAGTAATTGAGGCGGGGTGAAATGCTACCGGTTCGGCCCAGTTCGGCCAAACCGATAGTAAAAATGCTACTGGTTTGCCTGAACCAGTAGTAAAATAAATGAAACCGGTTCAGGCAAACTGGTTTTTCCGATGATTCGGATTCCTGCTTTCTAGCTAATATAAATCGCACGGCACAGCGGATTCCCCCCCCCCTTGCTGTTTGCTTACCTTACCTTTTTGTTGCTCTGCACATGCGCGAGAGGTACTGTGCATGCATGGAGGTGGCATGTGCGAGTGAAGCGGGAGCCCGTGCATGCTCACATTGCTGCCGAACCGATAGCAAAGGTAAAGTGGATGTCACCCCTAAATTGAGGTCCTGGATTAAGAGTAGGAAGATTCAATTGCTGTCTCTCCCTCAGGCACAGAAGCCAGCTGGGGGTGACCTTGGGCCAGTCAAACACAAATGAGATTCAGGCTCTGTGACAAACTGACTTTTAAACAACACTTCCCATTGTTCCACTGTTCGGAACTACGGAAATGCTGTGCAAAAACAAATGGATCTTGCAACCACATAGGAGAAAAACTAAAGAATATCACTACCACCAAAGAAGTGTACAGATGTTAAGGATCTGGTATATAATTTTCATGGAAAGGGTAAAGGCAGTCAACATTGGTTTTGAATTGTGTCATACTGAAACTCTTTGAAATGAGTAAAAACTGAAGGGATATAAAAACAAGGATGGACTTTTATAGTTCCAATTTTTAAGAAGAAAGAATTTCAAGAAAAGAGAAGTCCTTGAGATGGTCCAAATATTATTTTCTGTAATCTTGTTTTACACAATCTCATTCATATTTCATTCTAGTCCTGTGATGATTTTCTATTATGTTTTCTCTGGCTGCTTCTTCTTCTATCTTTCAAAATTGATGGTTTCATCTTAGATGGTAAACAAATTGATGTTAGATTGCTATAGGTAAAAGGTAATGGTTCTCCCCACATGTGTACAATTATTTCTGGTTTTAGGGGCGGTGCTCATCTCTGTTTCTAAGCCGAAGAGCCAGTGCTATCCAAAGATGTCTCTTCGTCTTTCTTTGTGATCATGTGGTCGGCATTACTAAACTCCGAAGGCACATGGAATGCTGTTACCTTTCCACCAAAGTGGTCCCTATTTTTCTACTTGCAATTTTTACGTGCTTTCGAACTGCTAGGTTGGCAGAAGCTGGGACAAGTAATGGGAGCTCACTCTATCACACGGTGCTAGGGATTCGAACCACCAAACCTCCGATTTTTCTGATTGACAAGCTCTGCGTCTTAGCCACTGAGCCACCGCATCCCTTTAGATTGCTATAATTACATGTAAATCAGTAAGGTTGATTGATTGATTCTATGTCATCAAGTCATTTTTACTCCATAGATAGAAAATACATGACCATCTATCCCTAACCTATTCTTCCAGGACTCCCAAGGGTGCACACACTTTGCTGTAACTAATATCCATCTTAATAATAGCAATAGAACTTAGACTTATATACTGCTTCATAATGCTTTACAGCACTCTCTAAGAGGTTTACAGAGTCAGCATATTGCTTCTAGCAATCTGGGTCCTCATTTTACTGACCTTGGAAAGATGGAAGATTGAGTCAACCTTGAGCCAGTCAGAATTAAACTCCTGGCAGTGGTCAGAGTCAGCCTGCAATACTGCATTCTAACCATTGTGCCCCCATGGCTCTTGCTGTGTAGTACTTGGCAATAAACAAAATAATAAATCAATTATGTTGACTAATCAATGAGATTGGCCCCTGTAGCTGATTCATTATTTGTTTATTTTAAGTATTCTATACTCTTTAAATAATCCCTAAGGAAGTTTGAGATGAGGGCAATAAAAGATGATTAATTAAATGAAATAGATTTAAGTAATGCCCGACTTCAAATTATTCTAGGAATTTTGTGTCTAAAAATAGCCAAGACCTTAAAAAGAAAAAGTTAGGTGTCCAGAAAAATAAGAATCTAAGAAATAAGAATCTTATCAAACTCTTCCCTCCCTCCCTCAGCTGTCTGCAAACAGAACTGCAAAATCTATGCAATTGTATGTACATCTGGTCATCTCACTAACAAATTCCTTACAATGTCAGCAACAGGATGCAATTTTTATCCAAAGACTATGTCAGAGTTTGTTGCATAAAAATCAGATCCAGAAAACACACAGAGATAATGGATTCAGCTGGATTCATTAATTTCTTTATATACATAAGAATAGATGAATAAATGTACAATACCAACTGGTGGTTCTTCCAAGTAAATCCAAGGCAGGAGAGTTATAGGCAAACACAAGCAGCTAGTTTCATTTCAGCAGACAAGCCTAGGCAGACTGATAGTTTAATTCTCAGAGCAGCAGGCTGCTTAAGTTTCTGTTTCAACTCTTTGCACAGACTCAGATTTGTTTAAGCTCCCATTGGCTTAGTTGCTATCCCTATCATTGGCTGACCTTATTCCCATGTCTCTCCCAGTCATGAATATTTTAACAGACTATGATATCTGTGAAAAAATCCTAGTTCAATTCTTCCCCTGATCTTTTTCTTTTGCTGCTTTTCTTAGAGCATGAAATGCCAAAGGATGACCCAAACCACCTTATTTCTCTTGATTTTGGCTAGCTGCATCACTACACTCAAGCCTTCTAACACAAACTTGCAGACATTCATTGGCTGTGCTGTGCGAGAATTCACTTTCCTAGCCAAGAAGCCTGGATGCAAGGGGCTGCGCATCACCACAGATGCTTGCTGGGGCCGCTGTGAGACATGGGAGGTAAGACCAATGACCCATGGCTCATTGTATGGATTTGGCTATCTTGTCCAGGTTACTAGTGATCATGTTTTAAAGGGCAGGGCTACATTTTAGTGGCAAAGGAGATGATTTTGAGATTTTGAGATTTGAGATTTTATTAATATTTGTAGGCCGCCCTTTTCCCTGAGGGGACTCAG